GCCCCCCACCCCGGTTGCAAGTTGGAAATAACATCTTTCTTCTGAAAATCTGAATCTTTTCTGTATTGCAGGCATACAATGCTGGAGTGAAGCTAATTGGTGCGACAAGCCACTTCGTTACCGAAGAGCTTGATGATGGACCCATAATTGAGCAAATGGTATGGCAGAACAAATCCATCAGCCCACCGCTGCATATTCACCGGCGCTTCACGCCTGGTTGTTGGTCAAATTATTCATTACTGTAACGTTACAACTTCGCAAAACATTTTCGGATGAATTAGGCTGTTGATTACGGTCAGGTACATACCAGGAAACCCCTCTGGTGTGTGGGTCTTTATGTCCTCTTATCTTTGAGAACAGTCAATGATTCAAATCATATTGCCTCATTCACGGGCGTTCAGGTGCACAACCCGTACATCATCTGCTCTGCTCCCTGCTAAATGTTCTGGTTAAACTTTGCGTGTTCTGGCTTTTTGTGTTTTTTTTTTTGTTTTGTTTTGTTTTGTTGTTGTTGTTGTTGTGTGTGTGTGTGTGTGTGTGTGTGTGTGTGTGTGTGTGTGTGTGTGTGTGTGTGTGTGTGTGTGTGTGTGTTTCTTGTCTGTGTTATGGTCTGTGTTATGTTCTGTGTTCTGGTTTGTGTTCTGTTTTTTTGTGTTTCTGGTTAGTCTTGTGTTTTTTTTGTGTGTTTCTGGTTGGTCTTGTGTTTTTTCTTGTGTGTTTCTGGTTGGTCTTGTGGTCTGTGTTCTGGTTTGTGTTCTGTTCTTTTGTGTTTCGGGTTGATGTTCTGGTTTTTGTGTTCTGTTTTTTTTTGTGTGTTCTGTTTCTTTGTGTTCTGTTTCTGGTTGGTGTTGTGGCCTGTGCTGTTGTTTGTGTTTGGTTTTCTGAGTTCCGGTTTCTATCATGTTATGGTTTGTTCTCCGGTTAAACTTTGTGTTGTGGGCTCTCTATTCTGCTTTGTTTTCTGCATTGTTTTCTGGTTTTTAGGGTTTCTTGTTTCTGTATTCTGGTTCGTTTGTTGCGAGCGGTCTGAAGAATCTGAACAAAGTCTTCTGGTTCGTTTGTTGGGAGTGTTTTTTCTTTGTATTGTCGCTTCTGAGCTCTGGTTTCTGTGTTCCGGCTTGTGTTCTGCTCGTCTTCTGGTTTCTGTGTTTTTCTGGTTCGTCTTCTGGTTTCTGTGTTCTGTTGTTTGCTTTCTTGTTTGTTTTCTTGTTTGTTTTCTTGTTTGTTTTCTTGTTTGGTTTCTTGTTTGGTTTCTTGTTTGGTTTCTGACTGCTGGTTGGTGTTGTGGTTTGCGCTGTCACAGTGGTTGGTGACCTGGTTTCTGAGTTCTTCTGGTTTGTTTTCTGGTTTGTCTTTTTCCTGGTTTGTTTGCTGATTTTGTTTCTTTTTTCTTTTTTTGTTCTGGTTCTGTCTTCTTTTTTTTCTTTTTTTTTTGTTCTGGTTCCTGTGTTCTGGTTTCTGTGTTCTGGGACGCGAGGCCTGTTTCTTTGAGTTTCGCTCGTCTTACCGTCTGGTGTGTTTCGGTTCCTGATCTGGTGTTCTGGTGTTCTGGTGTTCTGGTGTTCTGGTGTTCTGGTGTTCTTTGTTCTGGTTTCCGGTGTTCCGGTTTCTGTGGTGAGGACGACGACGGTTTCTTTGACTAACTGTTCTTCTGTTTCATTCACGTTTTTGCTTTGCTTGTGTTGCTATGTGATGATGACAGACGGCCAGGGTCTCTCACAGAGACAGTTTGCCGTCGTTTGCGCGAACATCCAAGATTTTAGAACGGCAGTGCTTCACCAACGCCATCAAGTACTACTGCGACTATCGTATCATGCGGTACAGCGGCAACAAAACAATCGTATTCACGTAGTCCAACCTCCAAGTGCGTTGTCCGACTGACCGCATTCCACATCCGCTCGCTCTATAAGACTTTCGTTTGTTCGTTTTTTTTTTTTTTTTTTTTCTCATTGACAAACAAATCTAAACCGAGATGCCTAGTAATCGTAGTTTGACTTGTTTTAAGTTTTTTCAGGCTAATTGTTTTTTTTCCCTGTTCCGGCCCGAGGTTTCCAGATTTCCATCAGCTTTTCCAGATTTCCAACGCACTCTTTTACAGTCTGTTTTTGACTCTGTTTTTGAGTTTTAAAATTTAAGCCCCCACTCCAGCGGCCCCTGCACTGTTCATTTTGCATGGCACCACGCAATGGGCCAAAGTCCGCGGTGCCCAGGCTCTCCGGGAGAGGTGACCGTTAGTGGGGGAGGGCAACACAACTGTTTTAGTATTTTTCCTTGCAGTGGCACACTCTCGATTTGGTAAAAATGGGGTCTTGCTGGACCCCATTTCCAGCAGGTGACACTCCCCAGAGTCCCCACCAATAAATGGAGACTCAGTCACCCTTGGGGTGCCAGGGCCCAGCGGTGATTTTGCCTTTCTGGCACCCCAGCGGTGATTTTGCCTTTATTATCGTCGACAACACCGCTTCGCACTCACAAGAGATGGGTGGGTGGGTGTTTTTTTTTTGTTTTTTTTTTTTTAACAAGATTTCAGGCTCGGGGAAAAGCAAATTTTGGTTTCAAAAACTTGTCAAACGAGATCCAGATGGAGTGGTGGTGGTCCAAGTGCGTGCACGCCGCACTGCATCGCACTGATGTGGCGAGCTGTGGACGCTCGGTTGGCATCCAGTTTCAGCAGAGCTGTGGAGGTTCAGTTGACACTTCGTCAGCAGCTGTGGGAGTTCCGTTAACCCCGTCAAGAACCTGGTCAGAAAATGAGGGAAGTTCGGTTACCTATTCCTTAGCAGTTTGGGAAGTTAAGTTAACCTGTGGTCAGCAACCCGGGCAGCAAAGGATGGAAGTTCAGGTAACCCCTTTCTGCAGGATCTGTGGGAGTGGAACCTCGCTCGTCAGCAATCCGGTCGGGCCGTCAAAGGATCGAAATTCTGTTAATCCTTCTCCAGCAGCCGCCATGAAACTTCCACAAATGTGGAAGCTCAGTTAGCCCCTCCCCTCCCCTGCAGTCTTGGTACTCGGGTTACCGCGGTCAGCAATGCCTTCACCAAACGACGTAAGAAGTTCACATTAACCATGCCGCAGAAGCTTATGTGAACCTGGTCAGCAACCTGGTCAGCAACTCGGTCAGCAACTCGGTCAGCAACCTGCTCAGCAACCTGGTCAGCAACCTGGTCAGCAACCTGGTCAGGAACCTGGTCAGCAACCCAGCTCAGCAACTGGTCAACAATCCGGTTCAGCAGCCTCGTCAGCAACCTCATCTCCAGCCCGGTCAGCAACCTCGTCAGCAACCTTGTCAGCAACCGGGTCAGCAGCTGCGGACGTGCAGTTATTCCGGCCAGAAAATGTGGACGTTCAGCTTAGCCCGGTCAGCAACGCGGTCAGCAACCTGGTCAGCAGCTGCGGGAGTCCTTGTCAGCAACCGGGTCAGAAGCTCTGGACGTGCAGTTATTCTGGGCAGAAGAAAAAAAAAAAGGTGGACGTTCAGTTTAACCTGGTCAGCAACGCGGTCAGCAACCTGGTCAGCAGCCTGGTCAGCAACCTGGTCAGCATCTGCAGGAGTGCAGTTAACCTGGAAGAAATTGTGGAAGTTCGGTTAATCCAGGCAGCAAATTTGGAGTTCAGTTAACCCAATCGGCAGCTGCGGAAGTGGATTGGAAAAGTTTCGAGTTCATCCGTGGAAAGTGTAATATGTGGAAATTCAGCTTACTCGGTCAGATAAATATGCGAGTTCAGTGAACCCAGTCAGCATATTCGAAGTTTGGTTATTAACTCAATCAAGCTGGTGTGGAAGTTTCCTTCCACAATCTGGTCAGGTGTGGAAGTTGAGTTTATCCGCTTAGAAAATGTGCAAAGTTCCGTCGACTCCGGTCAGAAAAAAAAAATGCTGGAAGTTTCAGTTCACCCGGTCAGAAAATGTTGAAGTTCAGTTCACCCGGTCAGAAAATGTTGGAAGTTCAGTTCACCCGGTCAGAAATTCCACAGCAGCTTCTAAAGTGCCAGCTCCGGTACGAATCTGGTCAGGTGTGGGAGTTGAGTTCATCCGCTTGGTTGGTGACTTGATCAGCAGCAGCTGCGGAAGTGTAGGTAATACCTGTCAGAAGATGTGGGAGTTCAGTTAACTCCGGTCAGAAAAAAATGTTGGAAGTTCAATTCACCCGGTCAGAAAATGTGCAAGTGCCACTTAACCTGGTTAGCAAATGCGCCAGATCCATCATGTGTGACGGAAGGACAAGAGTCTCACTGTCGTTAGCTTGAACCATTCTCCTCCGCCTTGTGTGACGGAAGCACACTGTCAGGAGTCGACTGAAATAGGATGAGCCATTCTCCGTCTTTCGGACTCTTTTTTTTTACCCTCCCTCCCTTCTCTTGCCTTTTTTTTCTGAGGGGGGAAAAGGGGCTGAACCGTTCTCCACCCCTCATTCTTCTGAACGTTTCTCTACCCTTCTCTTTCCCCCAGCCCCCCTCCCCCCTTTGTTCCAGCCCCCTCCTCTCTTCTTCCATCTCTCCTCCTCCCATTTACGGTGCTCAACCTCCACATCCCTCCTCCTCCTCCTCCTCCTCCTCCTCCTCCTCTTCCCCTTCAGCTCCGTCTTCCTCTGTGCTCGGTTCACCTTCATCTCTCATCACTTGAAATGCCCTCTTGGTCGTTGTTGTTTCCATCCTGAGGGTCCCTCCTCTTCCTCCTCCTCCTCTCCTCTTCCTCCTCCTCCTCTCCTCTTCCAGTGTGCAAGCTAAAAAACATTACCTCTCGCTCCCCAGACTTCTTCACAAACTGTTACGCCTTAAAAAACAATAAGAGTGCTCCTGCCCCCTCACGCCCCCTCCTCCTCCCTCCCCCCCTCTCCCCTCCGGTCTCTCTTTAATTTTGGCTCCTGCGGCTTTCTGTGCGTAGCCTGATCATTGTCTTATGACGAATGCATGTTTTAAATTTTAATGCATCGTTGCCGAATCTGTTCGGTACAATCGACACAACGTTGGAACTCCGCTTGAGGACTTTACCTTCGGACTTTGCCTTGGGACTTAGCCTTGGAACTTTGCCTTGGGACTTTGGCTTGGGACTTTGCCTTGGGACTCTGCCTTTAAGTTTAGGACTTTGCCTTGGGACTTTGGCTTGGGACTTTGGCTTTAAGTTTAGGACTTTGCCTTGGGACTTGGTGCTCCAACAGCGCTTCTTGACAGTACTTTTTGCTCTGCCAAAATATTTGGAAACTTGGAACATCAGCGAGTGCATGGCGGCGAGACTCTAGCACTTCAGCAAAACAGAATAATGCATGACATTGTATAC